ATGTTTGTCTGCCCTTCTTGCACTGTATGAGCTGCTGCGTTTTGACTCCGCCCAATCATGCTCGTGACCAGATGGAACTCGAAAGCCTCATCGAAACTGAAAAGAGAGGCGGTCCATCCACTTCTAGCTCAGGCGGGCCAGGTGACGAAGACAATGGCGAGCAAGGCGGATTGCACCGCAAGCCGTCGTCAGGCCTAACAGGTCCTGGTTCTCAAGATGCCAACAACTCAAACAGAGGTCCCATTGCAAAAAGGCGTACTCTCACCTGATCGTGAAGTGATGCAAAAACAGAACTTGCCGCCGTCTCCTGCAAATAACTCTCGAGCGTGCTTTGCGACCGAAGCCGGAGGCGCCAGAGTATATCTTGGATCGGTGTATGTTTTCTGTACAGCATCACTGCGGCTCCTCCACGAAGCCCACCCGGTGTCAAGCGTAAATCAGCGGGGATTTCACACATGTTCAACACAGCGTCCCACCGCCTCCTATACAAAGAAGGCGTTCCTTGGTACAAACGAACATGCTTGGGGAAACCCTCAAAGATTTTGCTCAGGAGGGCTACAGCGGCAGGGTCTCTTATCTCCATATGCTGTGTCCGTGCAGGTTGCCGTCCTAAAGACTTAAACTGCCGCAGTCTCAAGAACAATCCCTCATGATCACGATCGAGGATGTCTGAAGGGAAGAGGAGGTCTTCTCGGCAGCACTTAAGAACTTCTCCAACCCTGCCAGCTCCATAAAACGCAATCAAAGTTATACCTGCCCAACCAAACCACTTCAATTGCCATGCCATGACGACCATGGCACGAACCAAGCCTTCTGGAACTGGCACTCTGTGGCAAACCGGCTCCACAGTCTCCCACTTCGCTACAAGGTCCCAGCAAGGGGACGTCAAGGTTCTTGAACTTGGCACCCACCTTTGGCAACAAAGAATGAGGTGTCGAAACCTGCTGAGCGATGCACCATCTAAATACTGTTTGTTGCCATAAGCCAACAAAGCTGCGATCAGACACTCAGGAACACTTGCGAAAAGCCGCTCAACATCAACACTGCGTATGAAAGCGCGAGCCCAAGCAAGGAAAGCAACCAAAGCCTCACTCTCTAGTCTGAGAGTCGCAGTGGACAGGAGCTGAATGGAATCCAGCCCTTGAGATCTGGGCTCACCCTTCCTTCTTGGCCCAGGCTGCACGGCTTCTCCAGGTCTGAGCGACAGCGATCGCGAACACCCAGCAACGTCAAGCTTCAGCTGTTTGCCCCATCCAGCGTCACCGCAAACGGCCTTGCCGAGCAAGTCACACAAATGACGTGGGTATGGCTCTGCAACTTGAGTCCAAGACTTGCCATAAGGCGAACGACCTCGAAGCTGCACATGTTTCCGACTGCCGCAACGACACATCATCCGCAGGCCTCGCAATGAAGGTGAGCTGGTACCGAAGCGGGTGGGTTTCTTCCAAGGAGTGCCAAAGCGGCAAAAGCAACACCTGAAACAGCGGTCTGAATCAGCAGGTCTGAATGGCTCGAACTTCTTTTGGCGCCACAACCAGGAAGTGTCCGGATTCTCAAACCAAAAAATGATGTCTGGATCGCTCTCCTCTGTGATTGTAATGAGCTCTGCCACAAAGTCAGCGTGTGAATTCCCTTCTCGCACCCGGCGCCGCATGTTCTCCGACAGGTTGGGCAGTCCTCGGGGCCATCGAGCACTTCTGACAGGCGGAGTGACTGCCACAGAGAAAGAGGCACATATGGGCGCAGCGCCCCACGCTCTGACAGCTCGCAGTCGGATCAAAGAACGAATCTTGGCTCGAATTTCATCGAGCAATAAGTTCTCAGCCGCGCTTCGCTTCCACTCGAAACTGAGACACCATGGGGCCCCATTTTTGACAACAGCCCGGGCAACTCCGAAGCCCCCAGAAAACAAATCAATGTATCCAGGTTCACAAAACCCGTTGAAGTTGCTGCCAAAAAGAAACTGCTTCTTTGGGATACTCTTCAGGATCTCAACAGCTTCGGAGGTCAAACTTGAAGGATGGTCGTGAACACCAAGGCTCCACTGATCGGCCAGCTTGTCTCGACGCAGCCTGCTAAAAAGGACACGTGAAGGGCAACTCACCGGCATAGCTGTCCGAAACAAATCCCGACAGTCGTAGTCCGGTTTGTCGACATCCCCCTCAACACTCCTCAGCCAAGCATCGAACCCAGCGAAGTTGCCGGAGGCAGCTTCATTCCACCAATCGGGCAGCGGAACGTCGGGGTCAGCGGGCAACGCATCACGAGTCGGTCCATCGGCTCTGTTCACCTTGCTAGGGTAGTACATGTAACTGCTGTAAAGGTCGCTGCTAACAACATGGGGAAGGGCTTTGATCAACTCTCTGTTCAACGCCTTTGATGCAGCACGTCCTTTCACTAATGCTCCAAGGCTCACTTGCGAGTCGATACCGTAGAGGAAACGGCTGTGGCTGAAACATTGAGACAAACGTCTTTCTTCCAACAAATGCGCACGCAGCTCCAAAATGTTGATATGTGTGTCTCTAGCAACTGGCTTCCTCCACCTCTCCTCATAGAAGAGGCATCTAGCTAGCAGAACCCATATAGGACACGCATCATAGGTATCCCCCGGCAGCTCGTCCCCAGGATCCAATATCCCATGTGACCGCAACCACGCCTGATGCGAGGGCAGGAGCTTCGACCAGCGGCCCTTTCGAAGCCCGCGTCTCGCCACCTCAGACACGATGGCGAGGGGAGCTTGCGCTCTAACTGCTGCTAACCACCCGCTAGAAGCATCTGTGCTTGTGATGAAGGGCTGAAAACGAGCACGGAGGTTTGTAGTTGCAAGCGGCCCCAAACAAACGAGAGTCCACAGTTCTGCAAGTAGTGCAGGAGATAGCCTCAACACCATGTTCTGCTGTGGGATACCTGTTGCCTCGAAAATCAAGTTCATAGTGCGCAAAAACCTTCTTCGTGTTGAAAATATTGAGATCCATGACCCTGCAATAGCTTCCAACAATGCAACGGTGGATAACCCCAGCATGGCAACTCTGGCTGTGATGACCGTCAACGGCCACAAGCGCAAAGAAGACCCCCGAACAAGCCCTTTTTGCCCGTCAAGCTCAATGCCCCAGAAGCGGGACAAGGTTTGGTTTCGGAACTCCTTCTTAAGGTTGACCTCGAGTCCATGCTCCTTGTAAGCAGCAACGGCCTTGTCCAGCCGCAAATCAGCTTGAGTCGTGCTTCGACCCTCGCTTCGTTGCCAAGCGGCCATCAACAGCTTCTCAAGCAGCACAAGATCGTCAATGATGACCCCAACCGACAACAGGCCTCGTGGGACGTCTCCTTGCAGCGACAACATCTCTTCCTCGCTCAAAACGCCAGTGCGAAGCATCAGCGCCAGGTGAGAGCATTGTGCGAACTCACAGGCGTTCTGGTCGCCCATCGCCAGCGTGGACAAACCGCAGTAGATCGGCGGTTCCCAATGGGCCGGAATGGCCTCGTGACCAAACACCTCAATCGCTTCCTCCCTGGTCAAGGGATCAGCCAGAGCATTGCGCACAGTTCTCTCACGCCCCACCTTGAACTGATAGAAGAAATCACGAAGGTCTTCCCCGGATGCGGCCAACACTTGGTCATCTTCCAGACATATGTCACACAAAGCAGCAGCCGAAGCCATCGTCTTGCACCACTTGTTCAAAGCAACATCAGCCATGTTGGCAGGACGCGCATCAAGGATCAAGCGATCACGTGTCAAAGACTTCGGCGCAGCGAAAAGCCCGGAGAGGGCCCCTCGCCTCACATCGGCCTTATTCAGCGGTTCAAGTCTTCCCGAGGCCCGCAGCTTCTTAAGGAGGAGCATCTTGTTCTCCTTGGTCGCCCTGATGTGAACCACAGGCGCTCCAAGCTCGTAGTCTTTGCCGGGGCTCCCCGTTTCAATGGGGTGGCGATAGACCTCAGCAGTGACTTCATCAAGCAAGGGCGTAGGATCAAAAGAGGGCGCTGCCGGGAATTCAAGCCTGTCTGCTTCTATGTCTTTTGCAGGACTGACCACTGTTTTCTGCACCAGGCCAACAATCTGACCACTGTCGAGCTTTCTGGACGCATAGTCGGATTCCGGTTTTGTAACGGAGCCCCCAAAATAGCGAGAGTGCGGAATATCAGAAGTCAAAACGGCGCGATGAAGGGCCTCGATTGCATCCTCATAAGATTCAACTTTCGAGGCGCCTCGCCCCATAGACTCTGAATCAATGAATTCTGGTGTGTTCCCATCCCAACTCAAAAACTGCAGTGTGGATACAGCCGACCATTGCTTTGCTGTCAACTTTGCCCCAAGGCCCAAACAAGGTGGTGCATACCTAGGAGAACCCAAACTCAACCAGCTGAGCACAACCACTTCCAGACTAACAAGGCGTTTCCGCCAAAGCTGATCAGGATCAGGCACTCCGCTTGCTCTGAAGGCCTCAGGGAAAGGAATAGGCATGGGCCACACGTTTTGCAGCAACTGGGATGTAGGCGCCCTGTCCGGGCGTCGCGGGCATTGGAGTATAGAAAGCAAAAAATGAGCTGAGCTTGCTATTGGTTTTAAGCAGCCATCTCGGCATCGAATTCACAACTGAGCTTATGCGAAGAGCTGATGCTCGGGCGCCCGGAACTGTCATCTGAAAAACAGGTGAGGCAGGCGGCAACTCGCTATGCTCCTCATGCACTTTCATTGGTCTGGGGTTGCAGTGTTCTCCCCACGACGGAAAGGCTGCCCCTTGGCTTTGGGCCGCCTCTTCGGCGATGGAGAGTCTTCGCCGCTTGCTCCTTCTTCTTTCCTGCCTCCCTTCTGCTGCAGCTTGCGCCTCTTCTCGAGGTACTCGTCCGTCTCTTTCAACTGAGCCAGGGCTACCTCGCTCCATCGAGGATCGAGGAGCTTGGAAAACGGCTGTTCCCCCATGCTGACGTCCGGAGGATGATGGGTCGCCAGATTGGCGAAGGGCGGCAGGCTCTCTAAGCTCAACAGCGATGCCAGCTGCCAAGACCCCCGATCCGCAGCTACCTGGTCCAGTTGGAGGAGCATCAAATTGGCCCGAGCCCTCGCCTCGTCGACTCGCCCTCCGATCAAACAATCGAGGACTCCACTGATTCCCCAGGCCGAATGTGCCAAGGTCTTGTACTGTCCAATGTACGATCGGTGCTCCATCCAAGCCCTTGCTGAAAGAGTTGCAGGGGGCATTCCAGGCGCCAGCACGCGCCCTTGAAGGTCCTCCTCCATGAGCTTCTCGATCAGCATGAACAGCTCCTGGGGTGAGTGTGTGAGCGCTTTCATCAGGGCTCTGCGAGCGATACTTGACCGCTTCCCACTGCCGGAGCTGACGGGGTCGCCAGGTCCATGAGCACCATCTAAAAGCAGGTCCAGTCCCGGCTTCTTTCTCCTCTCCTTGTCTGCTGCAAGCGTCTCGACTATGGATGTGAGCTTGCCCACCGCCAGAGTCATAGGATCGGAAGAAAGGCCTGCAGATCCAGACCCTTGCTGCTCGGCTTCGTCCTCCTCGGTCTCGGACAAGGGGCCACTCGGCTTGATGGTGACCTGTCGCGGCTCCTTCAACTTCTTTTTGGTGGGAGCGGCTGAAGCCATCAACGACTGCATCTCGACGAGCACCTTTTCGTCCATACCAGCACTGAGGGCGGACCGAACCATTGCAGGGTCCAGAAGAGGATATGCAGTCGCCGGAGGCTCTTGCGCCACCTTTGCCGCGCGCCGCTGAGAAGGAGGATTTGGAGCTGTCGACGTAGGGGGGGGCGGAGTGCCCTCGCCCCGTTTGAGCAGAGTCTGAATGCCTTCCGCCATAGTGCCAACTGTGTCCTCCAACTTTTGCACTCGCAAGGAAAGGTCGGGCGAACCAGACCCTTCTCCTCGAAGCATGCCACTTGGGGCCAGCGCCGGCGGCGGCTCTGGAAGTTCGCCCAGTTCCTCCGGAACAGTGAAAAAGGCGAAGTGATCCTGCCCAACATCCACCAAGGCTTGAGCTGACGGCCAGGCCTGATTGTAACCATCCAGGGAAAAAATCTGGACTTCCTCGGACAAGTGAGCCTCGTCGTCGGGGCTCAGAAAAGCAACGTCGGGGACAAGATCTTCTCGAAGGAATCCCAACCAAAGTTTCAAATTCTCTCCATGCATCAGGACCATGCGGTCCTCTGGATCGGCTGTAGCTACCTCTGCACTGATGACTTTGGTCAGAGCGTCCGGTGGTAGCAAGCGTTGGTTTCGTCGGCGGTGCCATGAGCTGAAGGGAACTGCGGCCAAAACCTGGCCTTCCAGCTTGGCAACAAAAACAACCTGTGAAGCAGCTGAACCAGCCGCAAAGATCAAAGTGCCCAGAGGGTAATTGAAATCGACCCTCGAATCCTGCCAGACAAAGGGAAGGGGCAAATCTTCGCTGCCCACCTCTTCTCCGTCAAATTCTTCGCCTCCAGCTGGGGCTGGAGAGCTCATCCCTCAATGACCCCGTTCCACACGAACTCGCCCGCCTGCAAGGCGTTCTTCACGTCCTCAATGGCTGGCAGTCCAACGAAAACGGAGTCTCCTAGCTCTGCACCACGTTTCACCACCCAATAGACCAGGTTAGACTATTTTTTGTCTAAGATCTATTTTGTAAAAAATTGTCTATTAGATAACTTTTTTGTTGTCTAAGACAACATGATTTTTGGCTAAGACAACTTTTCAACATTTGTCTAAGTCTATTTTGAAGAAACAGTCTTAGACTATTTTTGGCTGTGTCTGAAACAATTTTTTTGTCTCAGACAAATCAAAACTTCCTCAAAACTACCACAGGCACTGAGGAAGTTTACTTGCAGTTTCATCATAGGCATGAGGAAGTTTATGATACAAAATTTGCATATTATTGCAGTTTCAGTCCATGTGCATGACAAACTTCCACACTTGCAGGTTGAAACTGCCTACAAACTTCCATCAAACTACCTCCAAACTGCCACAAAAAGAAAGGAAGTTTGGAGGAAGTTTTGAAAAACAGACGAGGCAGTTTCGAGGAAATTTCCTTGAAATTTCCTCGTTTGCAGCCGCGAAAATTTGTCTAAGACAGCAGATTTTTGTCTATTAGACAACTTTTGTTTTGTCTATTAGATAACTTTTCGTCACATAAAGTTGTCTAAGACAAATCACAAAAATTTATCTAATAGACAAATTTTAAGAAAGTTGTCTATTAGACAATTTTTTGTCTAACCTGGTCTATTGGGCAGCTCCTTCGCCGGCTGCCACTTGCCGAACACACGCACTGGGTCAAACACTTGGCGATCAAATCCTCTGACCACAATCCAGTAGCGAGAAGCTTGAGGAATCTTATCCCTGCCTGATTCACCCCTGGGTTGGCCAGTCAAAGCTCTCTTCAAAAAACGTCCCACACTCTGAGCTGCTGCCTCACGACCAGTCGATTCCAGAAGGAGCCGAACTAGGCCGAGGGGCCGATGGATCAACACCTGAGCGAGAACGATCAGCCTCGATGTCCGCGTCCGAGAGCCTCACTTCGGAGACCAAACTGAAAGTGCCCCCAAGCTCAGCCTTGTCCTGGAGGTCAACCACAATCTGCCTAAGCTCACGAAGCTCGCCCCTGGTAGAGGCGAGGAGAGAGCGCAGGCCCTGAATCTCACCTTTCAGCAACTGCACCTGATCTTCAAGGGAAAACACTTCTTGCCCTGCCCCTGAGTTGGTGTGCATCAAAGAAGGCGATAAAGTGATCGAGCTTGCGAGGCCGGTCCAGCACGAACCAGCAGAACCCTCAAGAGGTAGGCCCGCAAAGCCAACAAAAGCTCAACCAATGGAAACAGGAGGAATCCAACAAAGATGCCAGCCAAAAAAGACCAGGGATCCAGATTCCACCAACCAAAGCGCTCAGCGCAATATGGCGAATACGGGCTAAGCTCCCGATCGAGGAACGAGAGAGCGAGTGCGGTGCCGGCCCCAACTGCTCGAGCCGAGTCCATGCTATGACCCACGACGAAGGTGGAAAAACATCGAGAGAATATATTCTTGTATGTTGCTTTCATCCAGGCCTGGGCCTGCTGCACTCTCTGCATAGGCTCTTGCCTGTAAGCCATGTTTCCAGTACAAGTCTGAGCAGCCTTACATGAGCATAAGGTTCCACATCACCTTGTCAATCCAAGCTCAGCGATTCGCATGAAGTCCTAACCGCACACCAGCTAAGAAGCAGGCCCGTCAAACACCTAGGAGACAAGGGTTGCAAAAGGCTGCCAAAGACTTTCAAAGTGGCACGCTTTAGCGCCGCTTTAGCAAGGCCCCATTTGGGTCTGGCCCGGCATTCAATAATTACCTTACAACTTACAAGTCAGAGTAGTTGCAAGTTGCAATGCATAAGCAAAGTCAGGTTGCATTCCACAAGACTTGCACCAATGTGAACACTTGCCAAGGACACCGCACGGGAAGACCTATCACTGGAAGGAACACCTGGCGACGAACAAATTCCTTGACTCAACGCGCAACTTGCAACACAGTTCAACCCGTCTTGAACCGCTTGAACTTGGGGACTTGGCATGGCGGCTGTTGAACAGGAAAGAATGAGCCCTTGAAGCGGTCGCAAGGGTTGAAAGGGGACCTTTAAAAGGGCCCTTACATGCACTTACCTTTTCTCGTTTTCTCATTTTGTTCTTCTTTTTATTTCAAATAGGAAACAGCCTAAAAGAGACACCTTTTTCCTTGAGCCAAAGTCACGCGATGTAGGGGCAATGTATGTACACTAGCTGTGAAAAATACCACCCGCGGCGCCGCCAGTTCACTGGCAGCACCGAAGAGGCAGACAGCAGCCACCATAGACCTTAGGACGGGCTGCAATGCTATGTACAATATGCACGACCTACGAATGCGTGGTTGTAGTGGAGAAAGTTGCAAATGAGGTTCGGCTCTTTTTGCGCTCGTAGCGGGATGCTGCGAAAGACAAAATACACGGCTTAGGTTTCCACCTAGCATCACGGGAGCAATACCACTCCAAACAAGATGCCATAGGTGACTTTAACCGTGAATTACTATAGACAAGATGATTGCACAAGGCATGCCAGCCAAAATGGACACGGCAAACCTTCCGGTTCGCAACGCTGTTGAAACAGTTAGCCCAAAAGATGACGGACGGCTAACGTTCCCGTTAGCGTAACGAACTTGAAACTCCAATACTTCACATGCCAACATGAGAAAGAAAGCGTTCCGGCTAACGTTCCCGTTAGCATGGAAGACACACACTAGTGGCCATAATGGATCTATGGGTCCCACTCCCAGTACCATCCCCGGGAGGCAGTCCACTTCCACGAAAAGCTCCAAGATCCGGACCACTCTCGCTCGCCATAGTAAACCCGCTCCTGGGCAGGCTTACCTTTGCCCTTCTCCTTGCCCTTCTCTTTGCCCTGCTCTTTGCCCTGCCCCTTGTACGGCTCGGACTTATACTGCCCTTTCTGCGGCTCATATTTGCCCTTGCCCTTCGGCTGACTATCGCTCTTGCCCTTGCCTTTGGCCTTGGCTGCGCCCTTCATTGCAATGTCCTGGGCAATGGTGCGCTCCGGCGGCCCGACCACAGCATCAGAAGAGCTTCCGGCTGGGCCCTTTCCCTCCGAGGGCTTCGACACCATTCGCCACTGGTGTGCGGCTGGCGCCGATGGGCGCGGGCGATCAGATTTGCCCTTGCCCTTCCCCTTGCGGGATTGGGTCCGCTGCTGGAGGCGTTGCTCGTGATAGGTAGGGCAGTCGATCTTGTAGTGCGGCCCCCCGCACACGAAGCAACCGGAGGCTGGAGCTTTTCCTTTGCCTTTGCCCTTCTTGGCTTTATGCTCGGCCTGGTCAACGGGAAAGAATCCAGATCGTAGATTCTGGTTCGCCGTCGACTTGCGAGACACCGCACTGACCTTCTTGTGCGTCCCCTCGATCACCTTCAAGCTGTGCCCAAATTCATTTGCAGCATCGGGCCAGTTCAATCGGGCGAAGGACACAAGATCTTTGAGGATGTTCTCGGCCGAGCCTTCCGGCTGGCATTGCTTATCGTTCCAGCCGATGATCACGGGCGGAGGCTGATTCTTCTGCAAGATTGCAAAATCGACGTACGTGGCAAACTGCGCTAAGGTCAAAAACCGGCATTTGTGTGCCACGAACGCCTCATCAGCCAAATTGACAGGATCGTCGTCGCCCCTCTCAAGCTTCAAGATGAAGCAGAGACGGGTCGCACGAGCCTCCATCTCCTCTTGCTCTTCTGCAGCCTGATCATCCTTTCCGGTGCCCTTTCCCTTCTTTCCTTTCCTCTGCTCGGCTGTTCTTCCAAGCTTCGGATTCATGCTTCGTCCGAGCCGCTGCAGGAAGTCGAGTGCATCGGGCGTGAGGTTCGCCCTTGCACAATTCACCGCATAAAACGGGTCGGTTTCCAGCCTCTCACGAAGGGTTGCGGCACCACGTTTCTTGGCTTGACGAATGTGGGCTTTCGCGTTGTCACGAAGGACTCCGAAGGCAGATCGGGCACCACGGCGTTCAGTGTCGCCGGCTTCAGCTGCGGATTTGGTTTGTCTTGCTTTCCTCGGGATCCGCTTGATGAGGTCTTCGATCACACAAGTTGTGTTCTGAAGATCTGCTTCAGCCTGTGCCCTGGCCGCTTCAGTGGCAATCCTGGCGTCCGGCCACACCGTCAGGTGGGCTTTGCAGTAGTCGCACTTGATTCCTCCCTGCCAATTCTCATTTCCGCAGAGCGGAGTGCGACACTTCTCCACAGGGATCCGAAGGATCACGTTAATGGCGACATCCTTGGGCTCGAGATCATAGCTGTCTTGCCCACGCGCCCACGGACGATTCCGGTTGCGGTGCGCGCTCCTCAGCCCCGCGATGTCAGAGTTCTGGACAATCGCACAGGGGGCGAGCATGTAGCCCCTCAACTCGCAAGACTCAGCCTCAGTTCCCGGCTGCGCCTTCCGGCGAGCATCGGTTTGGGCAAGTTCATCGATGACCCCTTCGAGCTCACGGGGTGGTCGAACGATGTTCACTGCACCCTTGACGACCTTGGACTTGACGTCCGCCCAGTTGTCGACCAACATAAAATTTTTCATCATCCCGAGACGGGAGAGCTGATACTGGGCCGGTGCTGCGGGGTGATTCGGATCGGCATCCTGAAATTCCTTGAGGCTGGAATGATAATCACTCCGGAATTTCGGATAGGCTGGATTTGCCCAAGCGAACGATGCATCCCGTGCGTTATACGCAAACATCAGATGTTTATTGCTAATCCAATCCGGAGAAAGGATAGCTGCATCGGTGCGGAAGAGCTTCACACCCTCCTGAAGCATCAACTCTGTGTCGAATGCCAGGTAAATGGGTTGACCGGCTCGCGTTCCCGCGAGCTTGCGCATATTCGCGACCCATGGCGGAGTGACTGTGAAATAATTGTGTCCTCGCCCCGTCTTCCGGGGGAAAC